CAGTACAGACCACTTCAAAAAATGATCGTTGCCCTGTATGTTATATAGGTATCACCATACAACCTATATCAGACAATAATGTATGTCACAAAACATAATGCAGTGCATAATAGCCAGCCTATGAAAATGGTGTTGGTGATATAGACATTTTAGTTTTCTTTCAGGTAAGTACTTTTTAAATGATTATTTTGATGCTGATGGATTTTGACATCACATCTCAGATTCTAATTAGTAATATATTTGATCAGATGTCTCAATTACTTTTTTTATAATAAAACAACCGCAAAGTATTGTACAACATCGTAAGGAAGATATCCAAAGGACAAACAATGTATTATACTTTTTGTGCCATCACGAATGTGTTTTTTTCATTACACCGCTAGCATTAAAATTATGTTTTGCCATTCTGTCAGCTAACAATGGGAGACTCATTGGAGCAATGGCGTGCTGCTATCGGCACGTTTTCTCATCCCAAATCTTCTACCGAGAATACTCGAATCCACCCTTTAAAGAGATCACCCAAACGGCCGAGTGTTCCATCAGTGAACCACCCCAGGGTAAGGACCAACCCAGGGTTACGAGTGTTTCCCTTGCTGTTGGTTATTGTAACCTTGCTGCTTGTCATAGGAGGCGTTCAGCTGAACCCTGGACCTAAAGACACGAAACGTATGTTCTTATTTGTTTATAAAATGGTGTATTCAAGGAAAGCGAAGTTAAATTGGCCTATATGCAAAAGAGGCACCGAGCTTATTATCAAAGTCAAGAGCAAGCTATTCGTTGTCTTGCTCATTGAAATTAACTATTAAGATGTATTTTGATTTAAGTTCCATTTGAGATTCTACTGAGTAGCGAGCACTCAAACTTAGACCACCCACTTGATTCAGTATTGGGGAGGCATGGCTTGGGAATCATTGAGAACAGCGGATTGGGAGATTGTCTATTTGAAGCTCTCAGCGATCAATTAAAACGCCTGACGTCTATTGAAGTAAATGCAAATGACTTACGCAAATCTCTGCTGGAATGCATTCAAGCGCATCCCATCTTGGTAAGAATAAAAATGCTCTCAAAATTAGCATGTTCGAGCATGAGGCTCGTTAAACCATATATAATACCAGTGAAGTATATAAGTATAGAAGAGAGATTTCGCACACAAGTGAAAGTACAACTTATACGTATATGTATAGTTTTAAGGGTCATGTCGAACTATTATATTTACTAAAATCAATTTTAAATTGTACTTAATGGAACATAAGTATTCCCGATATAGAAAAGCTCCATCAACTTGAGACTGTGAATGCACTGTTATCTGCACGTGTAGATTATGCACACTTGCTTCCGTGTCCTAGTAGTTGTAGTGTATTATAAACACGATCCTTTAATGTGAGTCATGATCCTTTAAAGTGAGTCATTACATAAACAAGTTGATTAATTCAAAGTTATCATGATCAGTGTAAGTTCAATGAACTTACAAAGCATTTTGTAAATTGAATTGGCTGAGTAGGAACAGTATCCAATCAAATACGTAAAACATCAATTTGAAACACCAATCAAACCAGTAGGTTCTAGCAATTCCTTGAAACGATCCATTCAGTGTTTCATAACGAGCATCTCCAAAATGTCAATTTGAGAAGAGATGGGTCTATAACATATGTACTATATGAGCATATTTTATTCTAGACAAACACATTTTGATCAACTAAACATGCTACAATTCAAGAAAGTACAAATGGCATCCCTTTGACCTTTATTTATTACAGTCCGAGAATGTCTTTCCTGACGAAAAGCCCACATTAGGAAACACCTTGTGCGTTTACTTAGAGTATAAGTATACGTCATAAGTTGTACTTTCATGTATGTGCGAAATCTCTCTATTAATATTCCTATACACACTTATAGGTTGGTCATTTCATTGTCTAACCCTCTTCTCAGTGAATGTATGTATTGTATACATCATATCATAGATAGAGTATGAGAATTGGTTTTTATGATAAATAGTACCCCCAGCCCGATATGGCCAATTATTTATCCTCAAAAAAACAATACAAATGCTTTATCTAACTTAAATTGCAGTTTAACGTTTTTTTCTTTTATGTAAACTGTACAACTACTTAACGTGTAATATGATATAATTTGTTCAGCTTAATTAATGCCTGGGTCACATTTGCTGCGATTCATCGGCCGGCGCCCGGCCGATTGAGTATTTTGTTCAACATTGAATACATTTCTGAACAAAATACTCAATCGGCCGGGCGCCGTAGTGAAAATCGGAGCAAATGTGACCAAGCCATTAGTGAACTGCAATTGACAAGTCTTTTGCCGCACTGGTTTTTGATAGCTTGCCAACTGTACTTTCGTTTAAAACATAGGCAAAGGTCGATAGAAATATTAATTTTAAATAAAGATGGCATGGTAATCGATCTGTGTTTATCTAGAGAAAAGATAATACTTGACTTCTTTTTGTGCTGCCATCTTTATATCGGCCCAGAACCTATGGTTTAAAACAAAAGAAAAAAATGTTCTTTCCTTTTGATACAACCGGCCATTCTTAACATCAAACCACAGCTCATTCTATTGTGCTGCTAGAGTCCATTTCACTGTTTAATTGCGTCAGTATCCTATTGTACATGAATGACATTTGTATATCTTGGATTGCTTCTAGTTTGGCTTATAAAGTGTGTGGCCTCTTATATTTGGATGCTTCTCTGCCATGTTATTTTCGATAAAATCAACATGGCTGAAATTCTTCAAATTACAAGAGGGCGCAGACGTATTGCACAAAAAACTAAGAAATCTGAAATATACAAATGTCATTCATGTACTATATGAATATACTTTTCCATATATTATTGCACAATGGTCTCCAGATTTATTATTTTTGGGGTTCTAATGACGCAATAAAACAGTGAAATGGACTCTACCTAAATGGGGCTAATACAGTACAGTTTAAGCCTTTATCACAGCTGTTTCATCTTACTTTAGCCCAACGATGAACATGTTATGACGCTTTTTGATTCGGAAGCCAATACAGAGTGGCAGGAATATGCTGCTAACAATGAATCAACCGAAGATCTCCATATCAAACAGTTGTCCTGGTATACAAATGAGTATATGGTGAGACCGGGTGTGTGGGGGGACAATCTTATGTTGTATGCCTTTACAAAACTGTACAATATAGATGTCGCTATATATACAGCTGGAACTGATGAACCATACACAATGACAGCCGATGACGAATCTGGAGGTCAGCAAAGAATGACAGCAAGACTTGGATATATTCCACACTTGCACTTTATAAGTCTCGTTGATAGAACTGGTAAGTCAGGTAGTAGTCGTTAGGACCATGTGTATTTTATTTCCTCTCATGAAAAACAAATGAAATCGCAAAATCATGATTCCTCCCCTCGGCCAGTTGTTTATTTTTTGCGAGTAGTTTTTTGGCTGAGAAATGAATGCATGTGGAAGGCTAATGTATAATCTTCAAAGTTCTAAGAATGATATCAAGGTCCTCAAAGCAGTGTTTAATCCACCCAACAAGTATTTTCAAAAATGCAATCTAGTCCAGTCAGAATGAGGGTTTAGGTTAAGAGGGTTTTATGGGACAAACTTTTTCATGTTGGTTGTATGATTTTTTGTATTGATTATAAAATCTTCGTTTTTTAGCTTTTAGATTTTGTGGCCAATTTATGCCCCACGAGCTATAACTTGGACATCTACTATGAAATTAGGCTAGAGCTCCAAGAATATTCATTGGAATGTTTTTACAGGGATATATTGATACATGGTAACTAAATATGTGATAAAAATGTAAGTGTGCGCCAAAGTTTAAAACTGCGCAGGTGCAGCGCTCTCGCTAACCTATATAAAGAGATTACAAGGTACAGGCTTCAGAGCTAAGTCAGGAAGGTGAACAATCTTCGTCCCATGTTGATTTCCCGTATAATCGTAAACAGGCAAGTTTCACCATTGGAATTGAAAATTACTATTAGATATACTTTGTAGATGTTATTTATGAAGCTATTTAGTGTATGCATCAATCAAATGGCTCATTTTGAACATATAAAAAGTGTTTGTGTTTTGTTTCCCAGGGAATCGTATTCCCATGTAGTACACACATAAATAGTATACATTATGTAGTACTTGAATACCCTGGTCTATATTTAGAGGTTATGTCACTATGACGTGAAATATGCCTGAGTTCTCCCAATATAGGCCGACCTTGGGAGGCTCTATATTTGGGCAAGAACGAAGGCATATTTCACGTCATAGTGACATAACTGATGTATTACATGCCTTTGTTCCCATGGTTACTTTGTATCAATGACGTGACGTCATGATATTATCATGGTTATTAAAGAAATCTAATATCAAAACGAGGTAAGCGGGCTATATCGGGGTAATCGGGCAATATCGGTGGATATAGCTCGCTAACTTTCCCATTGACTTCCATACAAATGCTTCGCTAGGTATGTAATACAATATTGAAGGGCATGCTGATTGTACACACGAGTACATGCATGAAGGCCTAATATTGATATTGCTTGCATACCTAAAGTAAACTCTTCTAATCCCCTAATGTAAACACGGCGGTATACGTAGTCCGATTTATCGGAGACTTTAAAGTCATATGGTTTGGTCTGCCACGGAAGCAGATAAAACATACCTTCGAATGTCGATGATCAGGCCATTTCTCAGGAATGAAAGTGCCATTCCATGCATATTTTGTCACTCATGTGCTTGAAAGGAATGTGAATAAAAAACTTCTATAATCTATCAACAACAATTTTATGTAAAGATCAGTTCATATTATCTAAAGATTGTGACCTCGTGTGTGCCTATGTCTCATACAGGGGTCTATTTCACAGACTTGAACCCCCACCTTTGATAAATGTTATAACTTTTGAAATAAGGGAGAAACCGTTTTTTCAGATATTGGGAAATCGTTTAATTTAAGCATTGTATTATACTTAGAGAGCTGGTATTTGATTGGTTGTTACGGTAATCAGGGTTTTATCGAAATTCTGAGCCCGCATTGGATGGATGCTATAACTTTTAAAATTAGGGAGATACATTTCACATCTTTTCGGATGTTAAAAAATGGTTGATTTTATGTTTTGAATTAGACATTGGGAGCTGGTTTTTATTGGTTGCCATGGTAACCAGGGTTCTCTTGAATTTCGGATCCTCGCATTGGACTGATCATATAACTTGAAATAAAGGAGATACAGGTCTCATTATATCAGATCTTAAATAGTGATTAGATTGTGGTATTGTGTTAGACCTTGGAAGTTAGAATTAACGTATTTGCCATGGTAACCAGGGTTTATTCTCATGGTAACGTCAGTTTGATTTCAGATTTACAAACGGTGTAGTAAGCAATACCCGCAAGGGGTAAGTTTGGAAAGGTCAATACCTTCATATGTGAGGGTGGCACTGTTTTGTTTTGAGATTATCCTACATTAGTGTACTAAATGTATAATATTAAGAATTTAATGTGATATCTATTGGCAAAATGAAAATATACTATATAGCGAAATACTTGAATGAGGCAATACTGTCAGACGTATTTGAAGTGTTTATTTGATATAGTAATTGCTTCAGTTATTTAGACTTTTATGGGGCAAACATTTATGTACATCTCTTAAGCTTATGAGTCATGAGCATGAGTAATCATATAAAATTGTAAAACTGTTTAAAGTTAAAACGGAATGATAATTTTGAGCAATTTGGTATTTTATAACAGGTGTTTAATCATGTAAAAGGAAGTTACAATGAGAATAAACCCTGGTTGCCGTGATAACCAAGTAAGTTCTAACTTCCAAGGTCTAATAAAATACAAAAATATAAATATTATCTAAGATTTGAAAAGTTGAGACCTATATAACCCTTATTTTCAAAGTTGTGTCATCCATCCGATCGATGTAGGGGATTCGAATTTCAATAACATTTCAACCTAAAATTAACCATTTTCTAATAGACTAGAATCAGGGTGATGAAAATGTAATGACATTTTATATTTTGACGAGCAGGCAAGTCATATTTACTAATTGAAAGAAAATGGGTTCCTTAATTGATTCTAAGATTTAACATGACGAAATAGGTGTCAAAATGTTTTTTGGGTAAAAAAATGTGTTTTTGCAGAATTTTCTTTTTTAATTAAAATTATTTTCAGAAATTTTATCTTAATAAATACAGTCTAGTTGACTATGGAAAAGTGAAAATAAATCAGTTTTGATCGATTTCGGTGATTTTGGGAAGGTTTCAGAGATTTCTCTTGTAGTGGGCATAGTGAAATGGATGTAGACTAGAATCAGTATATTGAAAATATAATGACCTCTTTTTGATGAGCACGCAAGTCATGTTGACTAATTAAAAGGTAAATGGTTTCTCAACTGATACTGAGATGTAACAAGAAAAAATAGGTGTCAAATGGGTTTTTAGGTACAAAATGTGTTTTTCGAGAATTTTAAATAAAAAAATTAGAAATTTTACATCAGTGAATACAGTCTAGTTGACTATGGAAATGTGAAAATAAATCAGTTTTGATCGATTTTGGTGATTTTGGGGAGGTTTTAGAGATTTCTCTTGTAGTGGGCATAGTGAAATGGATGTAGACTAGAATCAGTATATTGAAAATATAATGACCTCTTTTTGACTAGCAGGCAAGTTTTGTTAACTTATTGGAAGGTAACTGGTTTCTTAATTGATACTGAGATTTAACAAGAAGAAATAGGTGTCAGAAAGTGTTTTGGGGTAAAAATGTGTTTTTTGCAGAAAAAAATTAAACATTATTTTTTTTATTTTAGTAAATACAATGAAAAGAGAAAATAATCCAATTTTGATCGATTTCGGGAAGCTTTTAGAGATTTCTCTAGTGGTTGGCAAAATATATATAGTGGAATAAATAGTCAATTTAATAGTTTTCGCATTACTAATAGAGACAATAATAAGATTTACGACTCAATTAGCATTTCACCGAGAAAACAATATATTCTTATTCAATTTTATTCCTTACTAAATTCTGTCATATTCCTCCAGTTATATTATTCACATATTCATAAAAGTAAAGAATATCATACAAAAAAGCATAGTTTAATATATTCAAAATCTTTGCAAACACAATGATAAGTTTACTAAATAAAACTATAAAATTGACATTGATACATACAATGTTATATGGAAACACAATTTTCAGTATCATCAAAACAGGCTGTCATCAGCCATTTTGAACGATGGGATATACCAGGTCGTTTTTACAAGTTTCAATGTTTCAACACAATTTCTTTCTCTCACATCTGACAACTAGGAACATGTTCCGCTTTAGCAGCAAAATATAATTCACTTGTGAAAGAATGTTTAACTTCCGTGGAGTTGTACCTTCCCCATTGTTGAAAATATATCATATGATATATCAATTATCTGAAGAGATCCTGTTAGGATGTAATGCATCAATTGTATTTTCAAGGTTCTCTGTATTGTATTCAACTGTTTCTTTTGATATTTTATAACGTTTGACCTTCTTCTGGATTTAGTACAGAAACTGCATACTGTTTTCTGTGTGATAGACCCCACTGTCTGAACCATTGACTAACAAGTCTATTTTGATAGGGAGATGATTGTGAGTGGTGATTATTGGTTCTGGACCGTACTAGTTCAATAAAGTCAATCAAACCAGAAAAAAGTACAATTATCGTAACACTAGATTGGCTGGCAGAGCTCCAACCTGGCACAATGACAAGTTGACCACAACTATTTATGTGGTGATCAACACTGATTGAATTGATTAAACTAGTTAAAGCTACGTTAACAACAACGGCGAATGCCACGCTTTAAATCGGCGAACAAAGCGCCGTCATTTTTGTCATTTTTGTTCATACCAACGGCGCTTTGATGGCGCTTTAAAGCGGCTTGTAAAGCGGCACCAAAGCGTAACAAAGCTTGATTAAAGCGGAGGGGTCGTAATAGGTCGTAGAAAAGCTCGGAGTAATGCGGGATATTCGGCAAGAGCGCCAAAAAACTTCAAACTGTTTAAAAATTTTGGTCTCTCTGTTACGAATTGATTAAAGCGCCGAGAGCCTATCAAAGCTTAGAAAACCGTAAGAAAGCTCAGAAAAGCTTGACCCAAAGCGTAGGAAAGCTTAAAATAGCTCTGATATTTTCCTCACGCTTTGATCCCGCCTTGACCAGGCTTCGTTACGCTTGAAATCACGCTTTGATAAGCCTTGATAAGAATTATTACGCTTTGATGCGATTATGACGCTTTAAATCAGGCTCTGATACGATTGCCAAGCGCTGTTGTGCATTGTTACGCTCTGTTAAGCTCTGTCACGCATTGGAAAATGTCGAGATCGCCGATTTCATGCCGCTTTTGATCCAATGACTATATAAAGATGCAATAGATCCATAAAACCATTGCATCCTTGACTCGAGAACACGATGGCAGAACAACACGATCCAGAAATTCAAGATGGACCAGAGCATGACCTATCTGAAGAAGACATGATTTTTGACGCACGGCGTGATAGAGCGTGAGAGAGCATGAGGAAGCTTGTCAAGCGTAACAAAGCCTAACAAAGCGTTTCAGTTCTTGATTAAAGCGTCTCAATTCGTTGGAAAGCTTGAGAGTCCTTCATGAAAGAGTAACAAAGAGTGTGAGATATTGATGAAAGCGTCTGACCTCGTGTCAGATCTTCATGCCAGATCGTAGCAAATCTTGAGACATCTTAACGAAGCGTGTCAAGTGGTAACAGACCGTGAAGAGAGTGGGGTCCCCGCTTTGAACCAAGCTCTGTTAAGTCTTCCTATGCTTTGGGTCAAGCTTTGATGAGCTTTGTTACGGTTTGTTAAGCTTTGATACGCTCTCGGCGCTGTAATCAATTCGTATCAGAGTGCCCAAAATTTTTAAACAGTTTAAAATTTTTTGTCGCTCTTGCCGAATATCCCGCTTTACTCCGAACTTTTCTACGACCTATTACGACCCCGCCGCTTTAATTAAGCTTTGTTACGCTTTGGTGCCGCTTTACAAGCCGCTTTAAAGCGCCATCAAAGCGCCGTTGGTGCGAACGTAGCTTAAACAGTTTAACTTTTTAGCGCTCTTGCCGAATTTCCAGCTTAAAATAATTGACGGACATATTTCAATTCAAAATTGCACCTTGACCCACTAATTATTACTATGTGTAAATAAGATAGGCTTGTATATATGATTTAAGATCGTGTGTACGCATCAGATGAAGATTCGATGATGCAGATGAGTGATAAACGTCTATTGGAGATACAATCTTTAGCATTAGATACGCCTGGAGAAATAAATGAGGTGTTAAGTCTGGTCAGAAATATAGCGAAGATTCTGGACTTACCAACCCAGTTGTCCATGGAAGAGCTTGATGACAGAGTGCAACTGATGCGTCAGATTATAGACGACTCGATAAAGAATAAACATGATGCCCCAGATGGACTTATTGAAATAGTACTCAAATTGGCAAGTCGTGAAGTAGAGAAGCTGAGTTTCGGCTACAAAGGAGCATTAAAAAAATACGGAGCCCAAGCTACTCGAGATAATCTCAACGAAAAGAAAGACGCTGCAAGTGAATCACGTTAGTACCATACCCTTATAAAAAATTCAACCTTGAAAGTCCGAATTTAAACCGTTGCACAATCATTGTACAATCATTGATCCGATCATTTATGCAACCATGCCAACCGTTACGATGCAACCATTACAATTTTGGTTGTAAACTCATTGAAAATGTTTCAATCATATGTAACCATTGCAAACCCTTGACAATTTTGGTTGCATTTCTTGCAACCATTTCAATCGAATGCAACCCTTTAATACTATGGCAATATTATCTCAATACAACAAAAAATAATTATCTTGCTCTTTAAAAAATATATTTCAAATGTATGTATTTCATGCATACATGTCAGAATTTAAATGGTTTGATCAAAAAGATATTTAAAGTACTGAAATAGTTTAGTAAACTTGTCTTGTGAATGAAAATATATTGAACCAATTTTCATCTAACTTTGACGGATGGTGATTGTCCCACTCACATGTATATTCTCTAGATAACAGCAATGCTAAGGCATAGCAAATCCTCTCGCTGTCATGACTATCATTTTTACAAAATCCCTTCAAAACTTTATAAGTTATTGCAAACACATTTGAAAATTTTTTGATTGGGTCAAGTCTTGGATTTTACACTTCACCTTGCAATCATCACAATTATAAAGGAAGGAAGATGTGTCTGGAAGTAAGAAATCCTTCAATCGGAAAATAATCTGTTTATCGATTTGATATTTTAGATTTGATAGAGAAAATGCAATCAGACATTACAGGATGTGTTTTAAATAATTAAGTCGATAAGCATCCTTTATTACAGACTCTAATCAAACTGAGAGTCTCTCTGTAATAAGGTTTGTTTTGCTTTGCCAAATTATTTTTGTTTTGTTTATGGATTAATGGATTAATAAAGTTTCTTTAGACACATCCTTCAAAGCAGACTCTAATCAAACTAGAGAGACTGAGTCTAACTGTAATCAGAGTTTTTTAAGTTAAACATCCTATGTAATTTAATTATTTCATACACAGAACTTGATAAATAATTTGCCAAATAAAATCTCCCAGATTTTCCTCCAGATTTTTCCAAGTATAGAGTTTTGAAAAATAAGCCCTGTTTTTGGTTTTTAGTTTTTATTCATTAATACTTATTATTTAAACTGAAAACACTTTTCAGTACAAATGCTCTGCCCAAGTGAATACAGTAAAACCATGGACATTCAATCTATTGAATGCTCATGGTAAAACAAACTAAATAAAAATGAAATAAAAAAATCTGAAAATATTATTTGCAGTTTCATATACTTGCTATTTGAGATTTCTCAGCACTTATTGAAGTAATTGAATGAAGAAATAAACCCTCAAAATCTGAAAACACTTTTTAAATTTTTACTCCCCCCCCCCCTCTGCATGAAATAGAGAATAAAAATAAATATATAGTATAACAGAAGATGAAAATAGATATAACAGAAACTAGGACTATGAACCCTTTTTCTAGTCAAGCATTTAAATTAGCCGTTCAACCGTTTTAATTAGCTGTTCAACCGTTTTAATTAGCTGTTCAACCGTTTTAATTGGCTGTTCAAGCATTTTGATTTGCCTCAACCCATGAGAATATCAATATGTAGTAGGTATTGTTGTGTTGAGCATTGTTATAAAAAATATTTGCCAAGAAAGAACATGGTAATTAAATCTGTTGTGAATAATGTGTTTCCTACATAATATACAGTCAATATCAAAATAGTTCTCTTGTTTGTATTTTTTAAATTTTGTTGAGTCATACTCTTGATACTAGGTGTTAACTACACATATATGGAAACATTTGAAGACCCATTTTGCTGAGGGGGCTGGCTACTGGCCTGTTCATTGTATATAAACTTTTGCGGGGGTCCTAAGCTAAACCCTCCGATATCAATATGTTCCCATACCAATCTATGTATATATCATGGGTGTAGCAATAATTCATCTACTTCGACAAAATGTTACTGAAATTATTAATTCAGATGTTTTCCGATTGAAACTGTAAAAATTAAGTCTTTGCTTCCTGAATGCATTATTACTATAAAAACATTTTCACTAAATAAAGCAATCAACTTGTGATTACATATGTTTGTTTTATTTTGTACATCATATCCTGCTTCTTTTGATCATATATCAGTTTAATCATGAACAAAACCCATTGTGTCTCATCTTGTGATTTTGTTAAGTTTAAAGGAAATCTTAAGATTTTCCTTGGTCAATTTCTTAAAAAAATTGGAATTTTGCTCAATTCTTTTCATAATTAACATTTAAGATACATCATTTTGGCAATATCAGATTAAGGGAAATAAACACTAGATATGGTACTTTTAATTGTGTTATTAATGTAAATGACAGGGAACATAAATTATCATATGCCATTGAGTGGAAAACTAGTCTGGTATCGCATTCCTAAATCTGTACTGGAGAAAGAAACATATGAACATGAATTTAGTAATTTATACTGTAATAAACATGCATGTATGCTTGCAGAAAAAATATCCTAATATACTGTTGTTGAATAGAGGTAGATTCAAATCCTTACTTAAAGATAATTTTAATGCAGGTAAAATGGTTATTTTTTTGGAATGATACTAATTCAGGATGGTTGCAGGGGTTGAACTATGTAATCATTGAACAAAACATATTGCAACCGTTTACATTTCAATGTGAAATGGTTGCAGTTTACAATGGTTGCAGATTACAATGATTGTATAGAAATGGTTGCGCAGTCGTTGAAAAAGAGTTGACTTTGCTTGGTTGAACGCAGTGGTTGCACAATGATTGCTTATCATTGTACAATGGTTTTTCCTTTGATCTTAGTAGTTGAAACAATCAGTATTCAATGATTGTTTGAAACGGTTTAAATTCGGACTTTCAAGGTTGAATTTTTTATAAGGGTAGTTCATATTAGTCAAACTTAATCTTTGTAAAAACTTATACTTTCATCAGCGGGCGGATATAGCTTTACGTCCCGCTCCGAACAGGCAGAAATATATAGATAACTAGATTTTGGAAATTGAACGAAGTTCAATTTCAGACTCCAGATCTAGACTTTTTTTAGCCGAGTCATCCAGAATAAGCGGAGTCATCTAGAAAGAGATGGATAAATAAAATAGGAAGGTAGGATAGGATAGAAAGAATAGGAAAGAATGATAGGATAGAATAAGAAAGAAGGATAGGATAGAATAGAATAGGAAGAAAGGATAGGATAGGATAGGAAGGATAGGAAGGAAAAGATATGAAGGAAGGATAGATAGGAAGGATAGGGTAGGATGAGATAGGAAGGATGGATGAATTTTTCAATATTTTCTTCTCTACTCTTGACTTTCTATCAGGATACCATCAGATCGATTTTTCTCGAAATTTCAAAACGCTATCACATCCGAACCGGAAATCGGATCGAAATTTGGTTTGCAGATTCGGATTCCTGACAAAATTCTACCCCTAATTCATAACTCATACGTTAAATTTGGAGACTTTTTATTTTGACCTACTTTTCGGACACGCCATAACTTCCGAACCGGAAGTTGGATCGAAATTTGGTTTGCAGATTCGGATTCCTGACAGAATTCTACCCTTAATTCATAACTCATATATTCAATTTGGAGAACTTTTTATTTTGACCTACTTTTCGGACACCATATCTCAAAAGTGGGTCAAAATACTTTCTGACGGCAAAAGGCTAACACTATTAGCATATTCTTGGCTACATGTATACACAATTTCGAAGAATATAATTAAAGTGTAGTGTCAGAATCGAAAAAATAAGGAAAACCTATGAATTTGACCTAGATTTTGACCTAGGCATTTCGGTGTCCAAATTGTGAATCTAGATGGCTTTTGAGGTCCCCTTCTTTTAAAGGCTTTGATTATATGAAGCTGAACTCAGTCTATATTCCGTATTTTTCACTTCAAAAAAATATTTTTTCCCATTGACTTAACATGGGCACCAAATTTAGCGATTTTTGAGTTTTCACAACGCCATAACTTCCAAACCGGAAGTCAGATCCAAATTTCGTTTTCAGATTCGGAATCCTGAGAAAATTTCCTATAAGACTAATATCCTGCACATTTGATTCGGAGAACTTTTTTTTGGACCTCGTTTTCGGACACTGATATCTCGAAATCGGTTTGAGATATCAAAAAAGTAAATCGACCCTAGGTTTCCTACTTTTTTATAAGGAACACAATGAAAAAAAACCGGATCGAAAATATTGAAGGACAACCGAGAAAATCGAAAAAAGTGACAAAGTACTGGATTTGACCTAGTTCTTGACCTTTGACCTAGATAAAAATTTAACCCAATTTCCGAGAAACTAGATCTAGGACCTAAATGGACCATATATAGGACTTGACTCAATATCTTCTAGTTAACGAGAAAACTGGGAAAGAATAATAAAGAATAATAAATAATAAGAATACTGGCAAAAACAATAGACTCCAGATTGACATCTGGAGTCTAATTATCCTCTATGAGGCTCAGGATATTGGGATTATGCGAGGCAAATTTAATATATCTGCCCGAGGGCAGTGGGTTCTGAGGGTAGATATATTATATTGGCCAAGGGATAATCGCAATATCCTGAACCAACTGTAGGATGATACGTATGTTTATCCCATACCAATCTTGGTCAGCTGGTTCACATTGTTCAATTGGTCACAGTTCAGAAAATTTCCAACATGCGAACTTTACAAAAATTAACAAATATGCGAATGACGATTATGACGTAGCGGGCAGATATAATATATCTGCCCGCTCGGAGCGGGACGTAAAACTTTATCAGCCCGCTCGGATGAAAATATATAGAGATTATCCTATATGAGGTTCAGGATATTGGGATTATCCCGAGGACAATATAATATATCTGCCCGAGGGCCGTAGGTCCCGAGGGTAGATATATTATATTGGCCAAGGGATAATCCCAATATCCTGAACCGACTATAGGATGATCTGTTTATCCCATACCAATCACATTGTTCAATTGGCCAAAGTTCATAAACTTTGCAACCAACCGTGG